TATTTAATAATAATAATTTATGGGACATGTTACTCCAACCGCGTGTTTATCGCTCGACGAATTGAACAGCACTGAATAGTCACTGTCACTAACCCCACAACCACAGCGCGAGCTCACGCGAGGTTTGGCTTCTCGTCTCGCCATGCCGGTGGAAAACCACCACTGCGGAGCGTTTTTTTATTCCCTTCCCCCGCCCGCATTCATCGTAGTTTAGTTTCGACCGCGAGAAAATAGTGTTAGAAAGTAGTGTAGCCTTTGGCGTATAATTAAAGCCGAAATTACACTATTGACGCTTATTCCCGGATGTATCGAAAGAGCCGGGAAACAAATATAAATTCTTGGTTCTGCCATTCTGAACACTAATTAGGTGAAACTAGAAAACCGCTATAATAAGCTACGAGCATTTGCAGAAAGCATTGCACCATACCTACCTACCAATCATAAATTAAAAATACACTAGCGTATAGATCGAAATAAGAATAGACGGACGGGGGCTTAGAAAAAGATAGAGCACTCTACGAGCTACAACACACACCTGCCTTTGAAATGAAGAGTACCGTACAAAACTCGAATTGGTTACATTTCACAACATAGTATCGTACCCTTGGTATAATAAAGTCACTCGTGAACATTGACTTACAATTATATGGACGTCGGGTCCGCGCTAAAAAGTGTCCGCACTTGTAAGGCGCTAAAATCGTATACAGAGCGCGACACTTCGCTTTAGTCTTCATTTGTTCTACTGACAGCGCGATACTGCGATGACATTACAATTTAAATTTCGAATAGGTTGACTTGGGACATTTTTTTCGTGGTTTTTGTATTAGACCCGTCGTCCATTTATTTGTAAGTCAATGCTCGTGAAAGTATTTTTATCTCATGAGTCAAATAATAATTATATATATATATACACACACAAAGGTGGTCATAGAATTAAGAACGATTAATGACACAAAGCCATTATAATTTTGCAATAACCATTAAGTGTAGAATAAATTTAAAAATATGCTCTGGTGTTAAACAATATTATCTGGATTGACCTTTTTTATTTAGAGTAATAATCTTGTTCAAATAATGGCACCTATATATATTTTTATTTATTAAATCACAATCACTCCGTTACTTCCAGGAACACTGGCTGAACAAATAATTAAGAACTAAAATATAATTTTCATTTTTCCTATTTTGAAAATGGAATGCGATAATTCGTCATTACTATTTCTATGTCCTTAATGCTTAGACTATGGAAACTAAAGGACATGTTATGTTGACATATATACATCAGACGTTATATGTATGTGATGCATTTCGACGTTGAAAACATAAACATGTTATTGTCTTTGTTTAACTCTTGCAAACCGTCTTAAGCCAAAAGAGATAGCATTACATTGGTCTGTGTCAAACACGGGAATCGAAAGTACGTAACGTCATCTAAATGCCAACCGTGTCCATTTCGCAGTACATGACAGGGTTGTCAAAGGGAAGTACATCAAATGTCAAAACAAATGGTTTTTCCAAGTGTTTTATTGAATTATTCGCATGTATTGTAATAAAATGGACAAAAATGTTGACAGTGAGAACAATTAAGTATTAATAAAAATTCGTCGCTACAGCATTACGGGATGTGGCATTTTAAAAAGCGAAGATCGACCGAATGTAACATTGTACAGGCACGTGTTATTTTTCTGTCTATAGATCACACAAAAGCCCAAATATCTCATGTAATTAGACATATTTAAGTAGTTTATTCATAAATCTTGCCAAATTTTGCTTTGGTTTCTTCAGATTGCCTGCTTGTTTGTATATTTTGATGATTGTTGTTAACGATTATTTTGAGATAGTGTTGTTCTTGGAAGCGTACATATTATCGATATTCTGTTATTAAAATAATTCACTACGAAGTTTTTATTATTATTATTTTTACTATTTCAAGTTTACCTACAAATCAAAAAAGAAAAAAGAATGGTTGGAAATCATGCCGCCGTATAATAATGCCGAATATAAACATTGAAACAAAGATCATCTTCAATTTTATTCGCTTCATTTTGAAGAGTCAAATTCTAATATAAATTTTCAATGCTCAAAAATGAAGGTGTACCAGGCCGTGAAACAGTTTAAACACACAAGACAACTATGAATATTCCCCGTAAACCTAAAGAAAGAAGAACGTCTCCACTAGAAGATTCAAGAATAGTTAATCTCGTTAAGCAGGACCCATTGAAAGGCTCAAATCAAATAAAAAACGAAGTTTTTGATGAGAACAATCCTCCTCGCGCAGTATCTGCACGCAGCGTTCGAAGACGCTTGGTGGAGGCACACTTATTTGGGAGAGTAACAAAGAAGGTGCCCATGTTGACACTACGACAGACAGGCCTGACTTGCGTTTGCAAGGAAGTATGAACACTGGATAGAGGCGCAGTAGAAGTATGTGCTTTTCTCGGATGAAACTCTGATGGCAAGCAGTACGTACGCCGACCTAAGAATATGGCATTAAATCCAAAATATACGCATAAGACGGTGAAGCACGGCATAATCTCCCGGTAATTTGGACATTCCAGCATGACAATTACCCGAAACATACAGCCTACTCTGCTCGAAGATTCCTCGACAGCGAACTGGTTACTGTGTTGGACTGGCCACTAAACAGTCCAGATCTTAATCCAAAAGAGCATCTTTGGTGTTAAGTCTAAAATAAATTGGCAAGCAGACGGTGTAGTAACGTGAACGAATTGTACGATGCGATAAGAATGGAACTCTCACTTGAAAACTGCAAAAAGTTAATAGAATCGATGCCGCGCCGCTGCCATGCTGTTATACACAGTGGAGGACTGGCTACTATATATTAAATTCCTCTTTTTATTTATCATTATGTTATTAAGAAAACGTTGTTAAATTAATTAAAATGTACCACTTCTCAAATAATTGAAATATTGTGAATACTACAGTTAAATCCCTAGCTCGTTCTTAATTGTTTGTCCAGCTTCCATCCTATTTCAGTTTAAATAAAATTAAAATGATTGTAATTTTAACAGTATTTTTAAATATATTTTTTTATTTAATTTTAGATTTTGTTAGCCCCAAATGTGTACTACCTAGCACAAGTTATTATGTTTATTATGAACATTTGTATATCAAAAAGTGCCGTATTATGAAATGTCCTTAATTCTATGACCACCACTGTGTGTCGTCGGGAAAATTCGAAAAGCTAGTAACCTCCATTAATGTGAACTTTTAAGTAGGTACAAAAAACAGAATTACTAGAAATTATTACTTTACAATCTGTGATTATACCTTTATTGTATCATAACTATGGTAATCCAGGGAAGTATTTATTTTATTATTGCCACCTTATATAATTTTGTCGCCAAGCAGCAATGTCTGTATTACTGTATGTAAGGGTGCTGATGAAATTACAGGCACATGCGACTTATAATTTATGTCTCAGGGTGACGGGCGCAATAGCGGTGCGCCTCAGATTTTTGCGATTTAAAGAGCTGAGTGGCACTGCAACTGTTATGGACAGGCGTGTAACTTACCGTCAGGCGCACGACTTGTTCGCCCCGTCACTTGATATTATAAAAAAAAATATTTTAAGCTTTAATTGCTCGATATTACGTTTGAGGAGTAAAAAAGAGATTTCGTCCAGAAACGGAGTTGCAAGATTTTCAACTATCATACGTAAAATTGTATGCCTCCTATTTAAGCATAAAAGAACTATCGATTCATTAGAATTTTTAAACTTCTCCCCTGAAAAGTTTGAAAAGAAAGCGGATTTGCCTTTATTACACCAATGGCTTTATTACGACATATTCGTCCTTGTATAATAATTTTAATAATAATAATAATAATGACAATAATAATAATAATAATAAAAATGCGTTTCAAACCAGCTAACAAGCTGAGAAGAATAAGGCAAATAATAGTAATATTTGTTTATTTCAGTCCGTGGACCATATTAAGAAAATACAATTCATACTTAAAAACTTTAAAAATGTGGCTTTCTAGATATGTTATGAATTTTGCAAAACAGCTAATTTTCGCAATTTACTGGACTGAAATTTTGATATTAATTATACTATGTACTTATAGTACGAGCTTGGTTCATTATTTATATCTAAGAATACTTCAAATATAAGTGTACGACCAATTGACCACACTATGGCGTATAAAGCACCTGATTTTGTCGTAAAATCACAATAGTTAGCAGCATTCCGTAGCTGAAAATATGAATGATGTCACGACTCGCCTCGCCTATCTCGTCGCCTATCAGTCGTGCCAAATTGTTGCTGTCCCACCCGCCGCACTGTGAAATAGCCCATACAATAAATCACAAACCAATTAATACAGATGAAGATCTAGTTGCGAACAATGCCAAACACCCAATTCCTCGTAAAACATTAAATATGAAAAATCTGTTGATAGATAACCGATACTAAACGAAGAAAGTAGAAACAAAAACGATAAATAAACGTTTTTATTTCTTCTTTCTTAAATTTAGTCTAAAAAAAATTTAATAAATTACAAGAGTTACTCCAATATCGCTCAACTCCTATATCGACGTTTGTCGAGTCAGCAATAAAACGCTATGTAAATAAAACGTACGTATTAGTTTATTACAATTACCTTGAAACGGAGCTACGTGAATTCCCCTAATTACGAAGGTTGTGCATGGAGGTATGGTATGGATGGTACAATATACATACGAAAATTAAAATTTTATTAAAATAATTCTAATAAATAAAATTTTTAAAACAAATAAGGAGTCCAAATATCCCATCTCTCGTATAGTGTTGCTACTGAGCGCGAAGCCTGCTGACGTCATCTATCATCTATCGTCCGTATATCATTATGTTAATTTCTTGTAATGCGGCGTGTGCTGTCCAGCAAAATTTTTGCGTTGTTGCATAGGATTTAAATAATACGACACATGAGGCGAGTTTGCGAGCAGTATAATTGACGTACATAAGGATTGAATCACCGATAAATACCATTCATTTCAGTTTTACATTATTCCCTCTGGGCGAACTGAACTTTAATATCATCGCTGTTGGTAGCGGAGTGATGAGAGAGGTGATCTTGAACAATACCAGCAAGTGCCCGTTCACTTACGAAATCTTTGTGCCGGAAATATATCGTGTCCCCGCCGATCCTAATGCAGCATTACCCAAATTGGGGAATAACAAGTAGGTTTTCTTGCGCTTAGGCATATACGTATGCACGTGTATATAATTAAAAAATGATTACATATTTCTGAATGCAGAATAAAAAACCCTCCGATTAAATGCGGCAATTTCGTAATATTAAATGAAGACAACCTTCTTGCACCTGGAATGAGTCGCACAATTCAAATACAATTCTTCGCTACCGCGGTGAGGACGTTTGAAGAAACGATTCACTTTGTAGTCAGTGATACTTGTCCTGCGGAAGCGCATGGAGTTCCTTTAAAGTTGGTCGGCACTGGAGCTATGCCTTCATTGGACTTCTGGAATTTAGATACGACTTTCAGAGAACATTTAATCGTTAAAAACATGGATGAATATAAAATCAAAGAGGTTACTTAACTTTTCTAGTTGTTTGGTGTAATTTATACATAAGAATTTGTGTTATACATTATTTTTCTTACTAATTTTTATCACATTTTAGCCTTCACCACACTGCATTTTTACGGAAGACACTGTGACGTTACATTTCTTCGGTGTGACAGTGAATAACAGTTACACCGCATATATTGATTTATATAACAATGGTCTAGTGGCTTGTGCGCTATTCAACAAGATGCATTATCAAGACAATACTAATGATAAAATTTTTGCGCTGGATAAAAACGAGATACATGTGGAACCCTTATTACATAAGACTTTGGGAATTATATTCAGTCCAATAGCTCTAGAGGTAACTATCTACTTACAACCTCCGTGGTCGAGTGGCTTGCACACTGGTTTTCATGGTGTCGCCATCTGTGAGGTCACGGGTGCGATCCCCGATTGTAGAAAACTAACTTTTTTATTATTGTCTCTGGTTTTGGGTGTTTACGGCACCGATTATTAACGATCCATAATAAAAGTGCTTTAGTTACTTACCTACCCTGGGGATCAGAGCAACGTCACATAGTACCCATATGTTGTCTAATTTAAATTGAAATTTATTTTATAAAAACATTTTTTTATACAATGTAAAATGTGCGGAGAAAACTTCTCCTTCGCCTCTTGATTTAAAAAAAACAATTTACAGGAATACAGAGCTGTTTTAGAAATAAATCTGAAACTGCTAAAAAACGAAGAGCAATCGTTTAAGATTTGCCTAATAGGAGAAGGCGTGATACCTCGCATTAAGCTTATGCAGCCTGTGTTACGACAACATAAGCTCGGTGTGACTGTCTTTCCAATGACCTGCTTGGGGTCTGTAAGCCACAAAGTGATAAAATTCAAGAATATTAGTTCAGTGAAAAGTGTGGTCAATGTGCGAGTTCAGCAACCGCCAGCAGAAAGGCCGGTATTTTATATTAATATAGGTGAACAGTGTGATCATATGACGGAGTCGATAGGTGAGTTTGCTGACGAAATTGAAAATTTACCTACGCAAGGAATTTAATAATTTTTAATAATATGTTGTTTCTTAAATCATAGCAGATAAAGTCAATACCACCATGCAGGTTGTGCTAGTACCTCAGGAAATAGCCTTTGTAAACGCTTATTTCAATCCTCTGAGCCGCGGCCGAACAAGTTGTGATTTGCAGTTGACGATCGAAAATAATCCTTACGAACATTTTATGGTACGAGCAGCTGTTGAAATGTTATTTAATCAAGTAAAGAAATGAAAGTAATTGCGACCGGCCGAATGCAATAAATCAGTATTTTTTTATGATACCAAATGACGACACGAACAAGTCGTGTGTCTGGTGGTAAGTGATACGTCGGTCCATGTAAGTTGCAGTGCCACTCAGAGCTTTAAATCCCAAAGATCTGAGGGGCACTGCCACCGCGCCCGTCACTCAGTTGACAAGTCCCATGTGCCTATAATTTCACCAGCATCCTTACCCTTCCAAACCGGAATACTCACATTACATTTATGTGTCGTGGTGTGTGTGCGTGGCAGTATATTTCCCTGAACGAACTCTTTCACAAGGGGTCTACTGCCACTAATCTACTAGTTTAATTTCTTAATAGCACTTACATCTTATTATCTTTTTAACCAATTGAAAGAAAGGAAGGGATTCTCAACTCGACTGTATTTTTTTTGTGTATATTACGCGATTACCCCGACATTGGTGAACCAATATCGATGATTATTTTTTTGTTGGAAAGGAGGTACCTCAGTAGTGGTCCTGATTAAATTTGAGGAAAATATTCCACCTCTAAAAGTGGCAAATTAGGGGATAAATCCGGTTTATTGGATTTGACTCACTTTTTGTTAACCGACTTTATAAAACTTGGCAAATAGATTAATTGCAATAAAAAAAATCGGAAGAGCAAATTTTTGAGATCGGTTTTTTTTATAAACAAACATAATAATTAGGTACGCAAACTGCTTTATCTGTTTTAAGTTAGGAGCAGCAATTAATTTGTTTTTGTGTGTAGGTTTTATGTGAGGCTGAGGCGTTTATGGAAGATGTCATACTACTCGGATTAGAAATGCTTTCTATAGAGTTAGATGTTGATTTTGACAATGGGTAATGGCTTTTGATTTACATTCCTAACAGTAGATAATTCAATATTCTTAAGCTTTGTCACTTGTTTTGCTATTAGAATAACTATGTATTGATATTTGCATTCAAGGTTTCGCGACCACTTGTACAATCAATGGTGCTAGCTGATCGTAAAAGTGGTAGATTCGGAGGGAATTACTTGAAAGTCTAGCTCCACTATAAACCACAGAAATTCCCTAAAAATCAATGTTTATATATTTTAGTGCTTCGATTTTTTATATTTTGCTTAAAGGGAAAACACCGATCAACTTATGATAAACCAATATTATTAAAGAATACTGTGTTGTAAAACATATTACATATTTCTTATAAGCTTTTCTATAAAGGTCTTCGGTGTCGGCGGGAAGTGACAAGAAGAAACCCAAAAGCGCACCGATGATGGATAAGCGCAGAGTTTCTATCTCAAAAAGAAAAAAAGCTTCCCGCACGTCAATAAATAAACACAGCGACTCTGGCGCTGATTCATCTTTACTCAGATACGTTTTGGATTTTGGTAAGAACAGACTTCTGAGGCTAAAAAGTTAAGCTAATATTGGACTCTACAGACAGGACTCTACGGACAGTGTTTGAGGTTCATAAGTAGACACATGGAAAAAAGTTTGGTATGAGACAAATAAATTGATAAAATGGTTAACAAATCTGGAAATTATTGTTAGTATATTATTGTAAATATTAGTTTACACGTGTTTCGCATAATGTTTTACCAAATAACAGAATAAATAGCATTGGTTAAAAAATGTGTGCCTCTCAGTTCGCAGAAAGGAAATTTATTCAACAGCGTGTTCATAGAAATAAATTAATAAACCATGGATAAACGCAACTATTTCTCTTCTAATTTTGATTCGAGATTGTGGAACGCTCGCTAAACTATCATCTTATGATTGCATACGTAGTAATTGACAAATGTCGAAGGTCCGAGATCACTATACGTCAGCTTTAAGCGGGGTTCAAAGTGATAATTATCACGATAATTTGATAAATATACCTTGATAATTATCTTCATATTTCCAAGATTAAGTAATCGGAACAACAAAATGCTACCCTAGCTTCTCCTCTAGCCATGCCGTGTTCATTTAGTTTTTTCCACAGAGTGGTTTTCTCACTGTTTGTCATTTTTAGCCAAAAATTGAAAGAAACAAAACTATGCATCAGCATGGATAATTGTCATATATGTATATATTGCATAATTATCAGATAATTGTAATGATTTTTATCCAAGAAAATAAATATCTCGATACCGTGAAACTCTGATTTTTAAGTTTTATTGAATTCCACCAAAAGTAATGGAGCTTTGCTACTATTTGAAGATATGTTCATCAGGGCTTCCAGGGCCTCGAGCCCGGTTAATACAAAATGTATTTAAACAACTCTTTCCCTAAAACTGACCAAACATTGATCCAAATTGTGTGGACAAAACTTCATCTTGTTTTCTGCTGTTATTTAGGCGGCTGCGAACTGTGTTCTTTACAAAAGCGTTCAGTAATAATGGTGAATAATTCGGAGAAAGTATTTAAGTTTTCCTGGGAGACTAGAGATAACATTGTAATAAAGCCCTCTGTCGGTTACATTTCGCCAGGAGAAGAAAAAGACTTGGAAATTATGTTCTTCTCCCTTCAAGCAATTTCCGTAAAGAGGGTAAGAGTTTAACATTACGAATAGATCTTATTAATAAATTGTTGAAAACGTTTACAATCTTATTGTATCTCACCTAGAACACGCAACTACATAGATTGATTTTAAGACTTTTGCGATTCACTAACTGATTATCACTAATTACAGGTTTCTTGCCAAGGTATGATTTATTTTCATTTTCCCGATATTTTGTTGACTGGCTATCAACAGATGACAGCTTTGAGAATCTACCCTCGATCGCTGTCGACACTACTATCATCATCTAGATCATTTGTGGCGGTATCACAATAATTTGTAATTTTTTTTTAAGAAAGTCTTCACAGCGAAAAAGGGTAGACCCATTAAAGCCATCATCTGTTACTAGTCAGTCAACCCGTGGCCATGGAGCGTGGCTATAACTGTTCGGAAATACCTGGAAAATACAAAGGAATCATACCGTGATAAGAAAGTGTATTAGTGATTAATTACTCAAACTAAGTCACACAATGTAAGTTACCGAAATCGTTAACTGAAATATGTTTCTCTTTAATTGATTGTCGCATTCCTTACAGGAGCCATTGCTTTGTTCGCTTACAGCTATCAGTGATGATTCTCTGGTCATGGACCTAAAGTGTACTACGTGGGACAACCGACAGCTGCTTACTTATTTTAATCATAACGCGTATGAAATTAACTGATTATATCATAACTAACCATAACCTAGTACTATAATGCATCGTATTGTAATATAAACACCGGGAAAAATACTAATATATGACTATACTTTGAATCCACATAAAACGTCGATTAAAAATGTGAAAGAAAATAATGATTTGATTTCAGTGAATTTAGCCTAGAAGAAAGGCGGGAGCAAGTTATCGGAGACCAAAGTGTAGATCATGCAGATATGTATGGATTACTCAACATACTTATATTATACTCAGTGTCCACCGAGTACAGTAAATATATGTGTAACCTTCAAGAGGAAAAACTTTTAAAGGATACTTTTATTTATCAGGTAATTCCGGGCGGCGTCGTGGTGAATGTTCACTGATCCCACGGCGCCGACTCAACCGGCGAGAGGGAAACCCGGGGGGGTTTTAGTGGGGTAGGCCCTCCAGTCTGGAGGGAGAGTCCCCACATAACCCCTGAGTCTCCCTGGGCTCAGGGGTATCCATAACAATTTCCACTCAGTCAAAAAAAAAAACCGGTAATTGTGGCTATTTGAACATACGGTCGGCATCCATCAATCTCTGCTAATAAGTTCATCAATTCTCCCAAATTAAGTCCATCCATTCTCCGAAATTGCACACAATCCTAATTATTTTAAGGTTAAGTCGTTTTTGTTACTACTGTAGTAGGTATTCGTTTTTGGTACTGGTGTAACATGATTTTGTTTCTGAGTAACATAAAAACATGAAAAAGCTTTATTTTACCTTAAAAACTTTGCCATTGTGATCAGGATAACGTAAAGTTGTAATTTACGCAGATACTGTTATGTAAAGGTAAAATTTTTCGGGTTTCTCTTTATTTAAAGACAAAAAGAGAAAATTATATTTGAAATTAATAGCATACTTCTACCAAAATTCTACAAATGACAAAGAACCTAGAGATTATAGATTTGCGAGACTATGTAGTTCGACTATGTAAATACCACTGTAACGGCCACAAAAGCTAAGTTTCAGGGGTATAGCTACGCTTTTATACTTGTCGCTCAAATAAACAGAAACCAAAACTATGAAAATTAAATTAAAAATTAGATTTTCAAAATATGAATATTACTGCGTTATTTATTAAGCTCCTAATGTTTGTGCAATTAAAAAAAGGAAACAACCGTATGAAATACTGAAAGTTTCAAAATATCTTTCTTGCGCATCATGTATAGGTACTCTGTCAACTTAATTTATATTTTATCGAAAAACATTGTTAGCAATTTTTATTGTAAATCACCTATGATGAATTTAAATGCGACCTTATGCATTTCATAAAGTTTGGTGCTTGTTAAACTATTTCATCATACGGAATTATGAGTGAAAAGACAGGAACTCGTCAGAAATATCAAAATTTACTTGTAATCAATCAATACTATATAATAGTTTGGAGTAAATATGCTGAAAATGATATAATTTATTACTATTTAGGTAATTGGACGTGGACGGTGGGAAATGAATAGTGGTGAGGGAAATTAGTTTCTGTGCAGAAAGACTTCCGCGTTTATATTAAAGAAAAACCTACATGGACGTATCTAACCTATTTCGATCATATTCGTTTCTGTCCAGAAAGAGTCCCATGTTCATATTAAATTGTGAAAGTGATAGCCGTGTAGGCAAAACTCAGTAAAAAAATTGTCAAGATGGCGTAGCGTTTCAAGGACGCACGAAATGTTGCCGGCGCGGACCGAATGGTAACATTAAACGAATTAAAATGGTAAATTTATGTAACCAATAATATAAATTGAGCTGGTTCCTACAGTATGGTAAAACGTTTTTATAGAACAACGTGTAATTTCGGTAATTTAGTATTTCTTTCGGAAGTTTAGTATATAATTCGGAGTTTAGTATATAATTCGGAGTTTAGTATATAATTCGGAGTTTAGTATATAATTCGGAGTTTTTTTCGTAGAATTGCAATTTGCTAGCCGCAGTTCGCTGCGGTTTAATTTGTTTTTCAGATCCATTATTATTTCCCATCATTTTACCTTACCACAAAAAATTGTTTTAACCACGCTATGCGCCGCGCTCTATGTGTGCATAGATCCCTTTATGTTTAAACAAAAGATACGGGCTTATTGCAGACAAGAAGCTTTGAATTCACGGTAGAAAACGTTGGCAATGTACCGATGAAAATCGATTGGGATTTCTATTTTGATGAAGAATATCCAGCTAGAATTGATAAGTACAATGAGATTGAAGTATGTATTTAAAGTCGCGAATCACGATGCCTTTTTGTAGAGGTAGAACAAAAAGTCTGTTAATGGTAATTTTTATGTGTTATTAACAGATGCTAATTGATTCCAATGCTCCATCGGATAGTATCATCAACCAGCCTAACAATAGTGAAATCCAAAATGACTCGATTGCTCACGATGACGCTGGTAATTACGCACTTTGTAATAATTAAAACAGGTTCAAATTAGCAGCATACAAATAAGTTTTAGCATTGAAAGGTTTGCTTTATACATTTTAGGGACAAGCAAGGAAACCCTGTTCAGTGGAAGCGAAGGAAGACACACCGTAGACACCTGGTTTGAAATCGACTTACCGTTCACAATCACACCCAACAAGGATTGCCTTAAACCTCGAGAACGTCGAACTTTTAAAGTTTCGTTTAGTCCTCTTGAAGCCTTCTTCTTTAAAGTACGCCTTAAGAGCACAATAGGTATTTTGGCTTAATATCATTTGTGATTATTCTGTATTATTATAGACTACGCTTCTAGTTTTTTTCGTATTGCAGACAACCTAGATCCTTATAACAAAAACATATCCTGCAGTATATCAGCAAAAGCTTTGATTCCTTATGTGCACCTGGATATCGAAGAGAGCGATTACTTAACTTCTGGAAGGAGGAAGGCTACGGGTATTGCATTGCCACAACATATGTCTGTGTTAGAGTTTAATGTTTTAGGTTCTGGATGTTATAAGAAGTAAGTGTCTTTTGGGTTTACCTCACATTGCCGCCGCCGAGCTTCGCAACGAGGCGATGCATAATGTCGGATTTACATTTGTTTGACATATCGTGTCGTGACGCGTCAGAACCGTATTGGTTTCATACATTTAATATGGTTAGATTTATATTAGTGTCTCGCAATCTTAACGGCTTGTGATGTGTGTGTGAAACAGATACCGTCCTGACGCGTCACGACACGACACGTCAGTCAAATGTAAATCTGGCTTAAGAGACCACCACACATAAGCAGAAAATGAAAAGTTGGGATGCGAAGGGTCCGGGTTCGATTCGCGATAGGACCAATTTCGGAAATGAACTTTTCTAAAATAATTTTGCTTTATGTGTTCTGAGTAGTGCCACGGAGTGAATACAATTGCTCTTGGTCCCGGGTTTGATTCCTGGTAGTAGCAATTTGGGAAGTACTATATTTGATTCGACCCTAAATCAATAAAGTTTCACTTTAAACGAACTTTGCTTGTGACGTAATAATGAACACTTAATGAAAATTTTGATTTAATTCCAGGACCTTTAACGTAATAAATCCTACTAATGATGGATATGAATTTGTATTTGAATTGCTGACATTCGGGCCAGAACTTATCCCCTTTCATTGCAACGTGCTGAAAGGTTTCGTTGAGGGTGGTACTTCGTGGCCAGTGACGATGACGTTTGCGCCTACTGCACCTGGTGTAAGGTTTTTGCACAATCCTTTTCACATATTCTCTCAACAACAACGTTGTCAAACTCCTATTATATGATTTCAGATCTACGAATCCCAATGGAAATTTATTATAAGCAAACATAACTTGACGATGAACTTATTGGTAGTTGGCGTTGTACGAGAGCCTGATGTTCTTTTCGTTCCACCCATTCTTATTTTAAGAAATTCACTGGTCGGTTTTACAACCACCAATGTAGTGGTATTAAAAAATAACGAAAACGAGAGCCTAAATTTCCAGTTTAAAGGCAACTCGATGTGCAACGAGTCTGGCAAAACTCCAGTCATCATTAATCCTGAAGAGGGTGTGCTCAAACCACGATCAGAAACACGAATCATGTAAGTGATAAGGCATCTTGTCCACACTAATATACATTATTTATGAAGTAATCGTTTTTCATCTTAAAAGAAACAATTACATCACCTGTCACTGATTTTCTATAGTCTTATGGTAAGACTAAAGGTAACGCACGTATAAGTAAAACTTTTAGTAGGAAATATAAGATTATATAGTAACTGTAGAGCTCCTTGTGAAAGACGACCGAAGAACTTAATTATTTCTGCCGCCACGCAGTAATGTGATCATTACTGCGTTCCGGTATTCAATTATTATCTAATAAAGTAGAAGAAACTATTTTTTGCGAAGTAAAATTTTTCATACGAATTTATATTTACAAAGCTGTCTAATAAACTTCTTGAACTATCAAAATCCTCGATATAGTCTTCTATACACGACTCGTTCCTAGCAGCGTGTGTTGGATTCTGCATTCAGGACACGCCCCGCCCTTATCAGGTTTTAGGCATTTCGGATATTTTTTCCATTAGACCCGAAAGGTTTATTGGGAACATGAGCCCTCCAGTTAGCTTTCGACCTATATTATACACTCTTTTTTTGTACATTTTTGTTTCTATAAATAAGTAGAAATTGGCGCTGTGACACAGAAAATTGCGGTTTTAGAGAAATGACCGAAAATATAATATATTTCATTAGATGAGATGAACTCCACCAATCCAATCCGAAAAACAATTTAAATTTATTATACTTTTATTGTTGGAATATGACTTAGTAATTCAAGACCTTTTTGCAAACTAGTCACTTACTATATTTATAACGATATTATAAATCTATGACGGAGTAAAAGAACTTTGTAGGGTTGCCAGTTTTCATAAAATTTTCAATAGTTATATAGTGGTTGTCGATAGATTGTGAAAGGAGACAAAATTATGCCAAAAAATTACTGAATTGTGAATGTTACGACGTTCTAATGATTACTAATTGCGTTATTGCCTTCTTTATTCTGATTTTGATTTATTCAAAAAATATGTATGTATGAACGTACAAAAATTGACAATTCAAATGAACTTGGGCTCTGTAAGCCCAATGGTTCAAATGAAATAAGTTAGCTTTATTTCATGGGCGTGACCAATATTCAGTAGATAGTCGATAGAATATATCTATCAACTGAAATTACTAGCTGCTCGTAAGTGGCTAACATTTTTGGCGCAATCAACTGTCATTTTACTCCGTCTTCAAAACAGACAGACTGTAGTAAAATTTGACAACACTTGTATTTGTATCGTATTCTTAGGTTTTCGCGATTGTTACACATAGGAAATGAAAATATTTTTCGCGTATATTTGTTTTTTCAAACAAACCAACGTTTCGGGCCCTTTACAGGTCCAGTGGTCACGGTTGACTATAAATACGCGATTTAAATCCGGAAAAATAGTTCCATTTCATATAAACACTTGTCTTATTTTAAAAGATGTGGGTTTTATTCAAATAACTTTTTTTGGTTCCTGTAACAAAATATGCATTTGTGGTGTCGTGTTTTTCATTTTCTCAGAATCGAGTACACACCAATACAAGACGGTCCTATGTCATTCAAGATTTTCTGCAGTGTGATGTACTGTACCAAGTACTTAACCCTCTGTGTGAACGCCCTCAGCCATCTAGTCAAACCCACAGTGACTTACTACCTTATTAATTCTTACGAACATACACTGGATAGTGAAGTAGACACCAATATTCATTTGGATGAGGTAAAATGTTTTTGAAAGCTTTTAGGCAAACGTTTTATGAGTCTTTACAGTAATAAAATACTTACACATGCATTAACCCTTAGAATAATAACGCATAGAAACCTAGCCCGCACACGCTAAGTGAGGCAAGTTAGAGGGTTCCAAACGCGTCCCAGGAGCGCGCGGGCTGTTAGTGCTCAAGGTCATATTGCACCGCGAACAGCTCCAAAATTTTTTGCTAAAAATGACGAAATGTGCGGTAAATGGGTGTAAAAATACAACAGACAAACATAAAATAGACACTAACATCGCATTCCACAAGTAAGTAATGCGTTTCAACTCATATTTTTATGTAAATATTCACTAAAACAGAAAAATAATTTCGCGGCAACAAGATACGAAAGTATTGCAAAGTAACGAATTTTTTTTCTCCCCATTTTGCTATTCTGTATCAAAATAATTATATTACGTAAATTTTAGTGGTGCCTGTAATTTAGATTTATTTGCGCATCTTGAACTAATATTTACTTTAATAAACATTAAATGTTTTCGTTAACTCCTGTAAGTGATTGGGACACTTAATTATTTTATAATACTTTTAACGGCTCTGCGTTCATGCTTTATTGAATAATTATTTATTTTAATTTTATTTGAATTGGAGCACATATTGCAACAAATTTACAGTACTTATATATTTGTTTCTACAATAGTGTTGGCACCACCAGTACAACTTTCATAGCTTATTATGTCTTTCTTTTCGTAACTCAAGCGAAATATTTTATATTAAAATATTTTATTTTCTTAAAAGGGGAGCATTCTTAAGCGATTTTTTAATCTATTTTAACAGTTATTTTCTTTAATGTTTGCTTATGGCATTTTCGGTTTTAGGTTTCGAATATGGCACTTATTTCTAAATCCAAGATGCGGGCGCGATTTTTCGAATAATGGCAAGTTGGGTATCGTTTTCGAGATGTTTGGGAATGTTCAATACAAATATGGCACTCATTTCTAAATCCAAGATGGCAAACACGACAGTTCAAACAAAAGCAATATTCGTAATGAGCACCCCCAAATACCTCGAAAACGATACCCAACTTGCCATTATTTGAAAAATCGTGCCCGCCATCTTGGATTTACAAATAGTGCCATATTCACATTGAGCATCCCCAAATACCTCGAAAATGATACCCACATAGCATCTTTTTGAAAAAATCGTGCCCGCCATCTTGGATTTAGAAATGAGTGCCACATTCGTAATGAGCACCCCCAAGTACCTCGAAAATGATACCCATATTGCATTTATTTGAAAACTCGTGTCCGCCATCTTGGATTTAGAAATGAGTGCCTTATTCGTAATGAGCATCCCCAAATACCTCGAAAATGATACCCATATTGCATTTTTTTGAAAAAATCGTGCCCGCCATCTTGGATTTAGAAATGAGTGCCATATTCGTAATGAGCACCCCCAAGTACCTCGAAAATGATACCCATATTGCATTTTTTTGAAAAATCGTGCCCGCCATCTTGGATGTAGAAATGAGTGCCATATTCGTCATGAGCATCCCCAAGTACCTCGAAAATGATACCCATATTGCATTTATTTCAAAACTCGTGTCCGCCATCTTGGATTTAGAAATGAGTGCCATATTCGTAATGAGCATCCCCAAATACCTCGAAAACGATACCCATATAGCATATTTTGAAAAATCGTGTCCGCCATCTTGGATTTACAAATAAGTGCTATATTCGTTTTTTATCGACAAAACCGAGCACATCTGTAGGCACCTGATCGACAATGTCGGGCAAATCTGTAGGCACCTTTAACTTAATGATGAGTTAAGCAAGATACAATTTCCCCACTTTTGAGGGAAATGTTATTCCATGGCATCATTATTTGTATATTTGTGTGCGTGCCGACGAGCGTAGTTACAAGTTGCTTACGCCTACATGAATTTGGTTTTTGCCTCACTTGTGACAGTTCGTTTGATATGAAACTATCATTCTATGCGTTATTATTCTAAGCATTAACCACTATAAAAATAAGGCAAATAAGAAATCGTCAAAAGAGAGCCAGCTTAGGATACGCTAACACAGTTCTTTTCTACGAGATAGATTCGTATGTATTAGCCACATTTCTTTGCAGACGGTGTCAACATACGAAAGAACAATACCTTTCCATATAAAAAACGACGGATCAGCGACATTCCACTATGAATGGAACTACGTTGTCACACCAGTTAGAAAGTATTTAAATGTGAGATTTGAGCCCAGGAGCGGGTTCTTGCAGCCGGGAAACGAGATTAAATGCACCATGTACTTCCTTTTAAAGCAAGTGCCAGTTGTGGGATATCCGGTCACGTTAACCGTAAGTATCCATAGCTGGTATGTTTCGTTCGTAGCATTAGGTACAAAAACTTGCCATTAAAACTGCGTTACGAATCTGTTCAATCTTTTCATATGTGTAGGGTAGTTTTTAAAAACATAAAAACAATATTTTACACGTCCTTAATCTTGTATGTGGTGACTAAGGAAATCACCACACTAATCAACGTGAAATCGATTTGAGGCGATGTGTTACCACACTTCGCAATAAATAGATTCTCCAATCTCCATCAACGCGACCGTTCAGGTATCGTTGCCACCATTTTACCAGTCTTGGATAAGAGGGGTATAAAATGCCTTCGCATTTTCTGAGTCGTTCGGCAATCGAGGCAGCCATTCGAACTTCGTGGCTGCCAATTGCACGCCGAAAGGGCCGTTTGAGTGTGGAAGCGGCCGTTCGAGTGTCGACGTCACCGACCAACCGTTCTGTACTGACGCGATTGGAAATTCAAAAAAGTTGTCGACTAGTGCCTCTACCACGAGTTTACTGTGGCAGTTGTCACAAGCGCAAATTGCTTTACAATTTTAATGACAAATTCTTAGAGGACGGAAAAAAAATAAAAGAAAGTTGCTGCCCTAACTACAGAATGAACGTGCATACCTAAACAAAAATTGAACGAACAAATGGCAGATTTCTTTAGTGTCGTACCATAATCTATCGATAAGTCATTATCGACGTGCAAACATTTAATTAAAGTAGATCAATATTCCATTTGGGAATACGTTTGAATCTTTGTTCATTGTTACACTTTTGCAATATAAATAAAGCCGTACCTACAGTAATAAATTTAAATTTAAATAAATTTAACTGCCTCGGTAGCCGAACGGTTACCATGCCGGACGCAGAGGTCCCGGGTTCGATTCCCGTGCCGGAAGAAATATTTGTTTGGCCTGCCTTCATTTATTTGTCTCGTGAGTTTGGGTGTAATTTGTTGTTGTCTATGGGTGTGTCCACGGCACCCGGAGATAGGATTGCCTACGTGGGGTTATAAGTGTGTAAAAAAAATATTAGGAATTGCGTAATTAAGAGTTTTGGCTTCTATACAAGTCCTTTACCCAATTATCGGGATCCTCATTAAATATTTTCCATTATTGTTCTACAACATTGTTTTCGTTTTCTGTTATATTAACTTAGTTCTCTTGTTTGGGCTTTCTAAATAGAATTTAAAGCGGCGGGAGTCCATATATACCTGTATTTACTTTCACTTATATCACATTATTACCACTTTGAACAAAAACTTTGAATTCGTAATTATTGGAATTTTCAGAATAAACTCTTTCGTAATTTGGTTAAAAGTTTTTTGTCATCATTATTTCTTTCTTCGCGTTTTTTAGTAGGTCAATGCATTTTCTTCATAATATACTAAAAATAAAATTAATTTTTGTACTGTACTTGTAACTTAAAAGCCCACCATTTTTTAGAAATTGCGTATTGTCACCGGTGAAATTAGAAATGGTAGATTGATATTGTAGCCTTTTTAAAATTTTAGGTCATGAGAATCTTGTATTCCTTGTTATCCTTTTTCACCAATTTGTAAAACTAACTGTTTTACATTTAAGAGGTACATTCAATAAAATGTGGCAATTGTTTTCTTAGATTTCAGATGGACCTAAATACTGTATTTTCCTCCATGCGGAAATAGCTTCGCCAGCTTGCCATTTCTCGTGGAAAATGTTTGATTTCGGGAAATGCATCGTTGATGCCCCAGACCCTACGTACACGAAGAACCTTGTTTTCAAAAATGATGAAAAAACCGACATTCTCACGTATGTTCTTTGTGGTTTTTTTTCACGATTTTTTTGCCGTAGTGCCATCAGAAAGAAAGCTATGAAAGTTTTTTCACTCGCCCAGGTACCTTCACTGCTACCAGAGGCTGACTGTAATTGTAATATTAAGTTTATTCAATATCACGACGTTTTACTGCTATGATATTTAAATCAATTTGTGTTAAACAGAAAAGAAAATGCATACACTTACACTATAATGCCGGCACGCTATGACGGACGTTTTGACAGATTACAATAGTGATTTTTTTTTTTAATTTATTAAGGCTTTGGCAAAGCCATCAGCCTAAACATGAAGTTTAAATATGTTTCTGTAAATATGGCCGCCACCAAGAGGATAGGCAATTTGAGGCGGCGTGCTTGGATTGACTCGGGATTCCTTAAAACGGGCCGATACGGGTATTTTATTTCGAGATTCATATAATTTCGCGTTTTAATCTTCGATTAAGGCACAATAGCACTATCCTATTCCACTTTAAACTAGATTTCACAAAATAATTGAAAGTCAAAATAAAAACGACACTTTTCCCTCCAAAAGGTCCAGAGCGAATCCTTACAATAGTGAGGTGAAATCTCAATTCATTCTCGAAAAAAATATAATCAAATGCGAGTCACAATAAAAATGTTTACTCATATATTTCATATGAACCGAAACAACGTCAATTCGAAACTGCTTTGTTTTGCATTGAGTTTTGATGCCAGTTTGCCGGAGAATGTAAAATATATGTGTAGAATTGTGCTGGTCAGCGATCCTATAAGTAGATTTCATTTTTTTAAATTTCGAATTTCGAAAAGCAAATGCCGCGTTGTGTCGTAAAAGTATACATTCCATAAATTTTAATGAGCTCCAATGTAGATAAGAAATAATACGAATCTTGATGCGGACAAACGTCAAAACGGCCATCATAGCGTGCCGGTACTATAATTCATTGTTTCAGTCTTGATTTCACGTATAAACATTGGCCGGAACTGTTTGTCGATTTTCAACAAGAACGGGTTCCACCTGATGGTCGCATAAAAATTCCAATAAATTTCCGACCAAAAGAAGTTAAAGAGTACGAATTCAAACTTCAATTCTGGGTGAATTCACTTTGCGAGGAAATAATAACTATACGAGGCGAAGGTAAAAACTTAAGGCTGAATGCTTTATATCACTTTAAAAAAATCGTCTTATTCTTATTTATTGCATTGCCACATAGATGTTCTGAACATCAATCTGGCCAACGGGAAACACAGTATACTGTCTCATTTAAGAACTTTATTTCGTTTGTTCCAGGAGTACCTTTATTACTGGATTTATACGAAGGTTGCCAAAAGTCCTTTGATTTGGGACCAGTAAAAATTGGTAAAAAGATAATTCGAGAAATCGAAGTAATGAACCACAGTAAAGTGCCTATTGACGCCAGCTTCATTTTCGAAGACATGTATCCTAAAATAGATCCTGCAACTGATATATCTTCTTTGGGGTCTAGTATATGTCTTCACCCTGACACTCCTCACATACCTACTGATCACGTATCTCGGTGAGTACCTATGTGTGAGGCCTGAGTGAAAAAGCGTTCAGCGGCGCATTGAACGGGGCAGCGAGTGGCGAGAGCGGCGTTTTGAGCGGTCTCAGTGCACGCTAGCGTCTATGTGAACCGGTTGCGTTTTTATAATGGCATCTGCGTCGTATGATAATATTATTGATATATAGGTATTTGGAAGAAAACGTTTGGCTGACATATTACTATGAGTCAAAACAAGGTCAACACAACAATCTCACAACACAAACAGTAGAGCTCTTTGTGAAAGAATTTGTCCAGGGAAGTACTGGCACCTTACCTATTTCTGCCGCCAAGCAGTAATGTGAGCATTACTGCGTTCCGGTTTGGAAGGGTAACGGTGCTGGTGAAATTATAGGCACATGGGACTTGTCAACTTATGACGGTCGCAGTGGAAGTGCCCATAAGATCTTTGCGATTTCAAGCTCTGAAATGCACTGCAACTGTTATGGATAGGCGTGTCACTTACCACCAGGCGCACGACTTCTTCGTTCCGTTACTTGGTATTATATAAAAAAAAACAAACAATGATAAAAAAAATGTATAAGTATTACTTACCCATCCAACCTTTTTAATCACCGAATATCACTAACACTCGAAAAAGCTTAAAAACTGCTTCAAGTAGTTGTTAAAATGTTACCTACCTCAAAAACTTATTAAGACGTTATTTACTTTCAAATCCCAGTTTTACTACAACTTCCTCCACACTCTCGCTTTAACTGTTCTAATAATATTTTTTAATAATATAGTAACGTTGTAATAATGTTCTATTTTTATTTTGTGCTTGTGAAGATATCCATACTTCTGGTTTGTTTTGAATTCCAATAATTAAGTCCTCGAGCGACATGACACTCGTACATAGGCGCACTATAAGTTTGCGGAACTGGCTACTTACATAAACAATAATTAAAACCTACTTTCGGCGATAAAGCACCATGCAAGACGACTATTTGTAGCTGGTTTGCAGAATTCAAGCGCGGTCGTGTGAATCTCAGTGACGAATTTCGTGATGGTCGCGCGTCCACTGCTGTGAACAACAAAAACATCGATGCTGTGCTCCGTATGATCAAAACAGAGAGACATGTGACATACCATGAGATTCGGGCATCTTTAGCATAGGCATGAGTCAAATACAATCAATACTACACAAACACTTGAGTGTGATAAAGCTGTGCACTCGGTGGATACCACACAATTTGACCGAGACTCAAAGAACGGATCGCGTCACTTGGTGCAATGCCATGCTTACCAGATTCAACGAATGTGGTAAGCATGGCAAGATTAGATAAGATTCAACGAATCTGGTAAGCATGGCATATGACGCCCCGTCATATTTGGTGCGGGAAATAGTAACAGGCGAAGAAACATGGATTTATAGTTATCCTAAATATATAGTAATCCCAAAACAAAGCAGCAAACGAGCGTATGGGTCTTTCGAGATGAGCCGAAACCAACCAAACTGGCGCGCGTGTAAAGTGCTTCTAAGCGGATGATTGCTTCCTTTTTTAATAGAAGTGGACACGTGGCTACTGTTGCTTTGGAGAATCGTAGTACCGTGAATAGTGATTGGTACACGATCATTTGTTTGCCGGAAGTTATTGACAAACTCCGTAAAAATAACCGTAAACGCCGTATCATCTTGCACCACGATAATGCCAGTTCTCACACGGCCAGACAGACAAATAAATTTTTGAAGGTGAAGTGAGGCGGCCATGCCGCGTAAAGTCCCGATCTGGTATCTTGTGACTTTTATTTATTTCCAAAAATTAAGAACCAGTTACGCGGTCAACGATTTTCATCACCTGAAGAGGCTGTCGAAGAGTATGAAAAATATGTTTCAGAGATTGTTACGGAGGAGTGGCGTAAATGTTTTTAAAATTGGTTCATTCGAATGACAAAGTGCATTAACACTAACGGTGAATATTTTGAGAAACAATAAATTCATTTCTGACCAGTTATAGTATTTTTTTCTTATTCTTTTCAGAAACTTATAGTGCGCCCCACGTATCATCGATGCAAAATACAAATAATACGTTCGCATTAGTGCGCCCAGTGTGGTCGTCGTCTGACGCCTCGCTGCGCTCAACGCGCGTCGATGCGCAAAGCCGCTCGACTGCATCCAACTGTCGACGCCCGTTTCCATATTTGCATAACACAAATTTGTACCTTAATAATGGGAAAATAGAGATGAATATACTATAGGCGAAAAACATGACGCGTCGCGACGCTTCGACTCTGCGCCAGTGTGAGTTGAGCCTAAAACAAATTCACTGCTGCCTCTGCTCCGCGCTCACGCTCGGCCGGCACTCAGGGGACACCAGTAGTGCACTTGTCTGACAAAGATTGCCGCACGCCACACGGACGCTCGTTTTGAGCGGGCACTATTGCTGTTAACAAACGTCAAGTAACCGATTTCCGCTAAGAACGTTAATTATTATGCAATTATTACAGAGTGAAACAAGTACAAATGTATAGAGGTGAGCAGACCCGAGAACAAATTGAGAAAGATATAAAAAATGCCCTGGCATCAGTGAAAGTAGTGCCTTCAAGGTGTATAATAAAACCATATATGAAAGTCCCACTGAAAATACATTTTAAACCGGTGGGACTTATAAGCTCATTGAACATTCAGGTCAGTTCTGTTGTCGTGTTATAATACAGATTGAAATATTTACGAACGTTAGCTTGTATATATACTTTTAATTCTTCTTTTCCTGAAGATTACTAAAATTATTAAAACCTTTTCCGTCTACAGTTAAACGCAAAAGTACTGGAGAAGATTAAACCATTGGTCTTGTTAAGCGGTAGCGCAACGGGCATGCTACTCTACTTCAGTCAAAATTCTCTGCAGTTTGGACGCGTGCGCAAGCGAGGCTGTAAGATACTGAAAGTCATGTTAAACAATAAAGGAGATTTTGGAACACGGTTAGTCTTTAAAAAAACTGTTAGCCCTAGTTAAATGAAAAGCGGCGAGTGATGCGGCGAGTAGATGACAAGTCCCTGTTCGCCAAGTTCAAAATATTGTGTCGAGCAATGCGCGGCACTGGCGGACTAACAGCAAACCTAATATGTGAGTTTTGAACGCTTTGGATTTTCGTCACTGTCCGTTGCATAATGTAAGAATTTCGCTATCTAGCGGGACTAATTAAATAATGCAACTTATTTTATTTTTCATGTTGAATTGATTTTTATTAATACTACTTACATTGACTATTACATTTTTTGTTTATCTTTTATGTGGGCAGTAAGACAAATAAATTATACGATGTCAAACTGTGTACATTTTGTAGTTCCAAGTTATGTTTGTCTACTAGGTGATAGTTATGAAGTAAAAATAAAAATACTCGTTATCTTAACACTATTAGTGATATTTGAAACTTAAGGGTAAGTACTATTATAATTTAATGAAGTTATGAGTATTTTAAGTGAGTACACTACTATCTTGGTGAAAATAAAAAAAGCTTATTTCATAGTGAAGTTGTTAAAGACATTTAATTTGAAAAACTAGTTACACCGCATTATACAGGTCTCTTTATTACATGATAATTAGTCCTAGGTCTCAGCTTTCAGATACAATCAGGGATAGCTGCGCGTTTTTGCGACACCCATACATGTTTTTTAATTTTTCAGAATGGCTGAATGTATAGAATTCTTGGTATTGTGTGCCTGTCAGTGTACACAAGGTAAAATTTCATGGACGAGATGTCATTGTATCGTGCATTCTTCCAATTGGACAGATGTCTAAAGAGGCACAAGAGGCTCGCAACAAAGATAACAGAAGTTATCGCGAGATTGTCACTAGAAAAACGTCAACCAACACAGACCTGAACGATGTCGTCTGTCGGACCCTATCGTATAGCGAGTCGGCGACATGTACCCAGGAAAGCACGTAACGCAATGGAACTAGCATTATTATCTTTACTGTTTGTGCCTAGATTATAGTCGAAAAGTGATTAATGATTTTTTTATATGTAGACCTATTTGGTATAAATACGTGGTAAATAACTAAAATGTCTTTTGTTACAATAATTATTTGTATAATTCATCGTGACTAAATAAAACAACAGTAATATATTTACTTTGTAACTACTATGAATTAAATCCCGCTAGATTGCGGAATTCTTACCCTGTGCGATGGTATGTAGTCCGATTACTGTGACTGTTTGAAATGAGGTCGTATTAGTATACCAACCCACAGTGTGTCAGCGCATCTGCATTATGTACCATATTCCACGATATGCTAGGCCTATAATATGGGCTATATAGAACTCCTTGTGAAAGAGCTCGTCCAGGGTAGTACTGCCACTTTAATTATTTCTGCCGCCAAGCAGTGTCAGCATTATTGTGTTCCGGTTTTGAAGGGTAAGGGTGCTGGTGATATTACAGGCACATGGGATTTGTCTACTTATGTTTCAGTGTGTTGGACGCAGTGGCAGTGCCCCTCAGATCTTTGTGATTTAAAGTTATGGACAGACGTATCGCTAACCATCAGGCGTACAATTTGTTCGTCCCATCCATTGACTTACAAATAAATGGACGACGGCTCTAATACACAAAACAAACCACGAAAAAAATGTCCCAAATCAACCTATTTAAACGTAGTGACATGTAAAGGAATATGAAAAAGCTAAAACGTTGAATTTAAATTGTAATGTCATCGCAGTACTGTCTAATTTTGCTTGCTTCGCTGTCAGTCGAACAAACGAAGACTAAAGCGTGAATGACGCTCTGTATACGATTTTAACGCCCTATAAGTTCGGACACTTTTTAGCGCGGACCCGACGTCCATATAATTGTAAGTCAATGGTCCCATCACTTAGTATTATAAAAAAAGGCCGCGACAACCATGTGTTTATAACATTTCTGTTTGGTTTAATTTTTTAAGCAGTGTTGCCAGGGCTCTTGAGCCGAAAATTACGTTTTCTTACCTGAAAAGTTAAATTCTTGCTGCAAAAGTTACCTAAGGGCGCGTTCCCATTATGTCGTAACGTTTTATTTGTCGTTGGACGACTATCGCTACTAGTCTGTTCCCATATCACGACTATCTGTCGTGAACATTTCTTTTATCGTTGAACGACAGTCGTGTCTAGCTGTTCCCACTAGGTCGTAACGACAATTTATCTGTTCACGGCAGCCGCCTTGTCGTTCGCACTACAGAGTCATTAGAAGCTGCGATTATCTGCCGCCACATTTTTATATATTTTATCGTCGACGATTTATTGTCTAATGACTGGTAGGACGTTCTAGCTCTTTCCATTGTCACGACAGTCTATCGTGGTAACGTCAAAAAAGTCGTAAACGACTGTTAATCGTGTTGTACTACATCTGAACAACTTCATTTAAATATACAATCCTCGACACTTTAAACTACACTACTATCTGTCGTCACGAAGTGTTATAGTTATGTTATACGATATACGCTTAAATCCTAAAAGTAGGTACGCTTAAGAAAAATCAAGCTATAGCTAGTAATTGGTAAATTTTTTTTTTGCGCCACCTTTAATGTTGAAATAAGTAAAGTTATAAAACGAAGTTTGACTTGACTTTTTTTATTTTATTGTTTTAAGAAAAAAGTATACGTACATAAATATTGTAATGCACCGTTAAACCCTACTTGGGTTTGTCTCGATGTCATAACTTAGCAAAGACGGTGAGTTAAGCAAATTTTTCGCATTTACAAAACGAACTTTGCCTAAATTTAAGTAAGAAATTAAATTAAATGTTAACAGCGACACCTAGTGAGCCTCTGCTAACACTACGCCGCGGCACTGTGTCGCGGTGTCTTACGTCTCAGTTGCCTAGTTAACTAGACTGTGGCCGTTCGCTAGATGGCGCTAGTCAAATAATCTATAATAATGTATATCCAAGGCGACAGAAGGCGCCTTGCTGGAGTGTATAAGCAAAATCCAGTAAAGTAAATCCAGTGCGCTCTTTTATCCATCATCTCAAGACCATCAACCTATATACAAGCCGCAGCTGCGTTTCATTTCCTCGTACCAAGGTTTAACATTAAACTTAGTTTACTTCGTAATTTCTTATTTGGGTGCGTTCGTAAATTTTATTTAGGATTTATAAAAACAAATATAGGTATTTGAAATGAAACTATTTTTTCGAATCTAAATCGCGTATGTTTGTTTTTTCAAACAAAGCAACATTTCGGGCCCTTTACAGGTCCTATTGTGACGGCTGACTGCAAACTATATAACTATACTACTAATATAGTTATATAGCCCCCTATTTAAATTCTAAAATAAATAATATCCGCGTTTATACCACACAACCTGTTGCTTTTTCATGAACGAGCCCTTGTTACTGAATTAAGTAAATAATCTTTTTACATCATTATGTCAAAACATGAAATTCTACGCATTTCTCAGATTCTTCTGGCAGCCTCTGAAATCCTCCGAGTTCACTATAAGTCCGATGCAAGGATATATCGACGCTCATACGAATGTTACTTTCACGATTACCTACAGACCTAAGAATTACAATCCATTTGTGAAAGTTTGGGTAAGTTTTGTATTCTTTTATTTTTTCAAACTCAAGTAACGTGGTTTCTGGTATTAATAAATAAAGATAGGCATAAATCTAAAAAACAGTGTAATCCAAGCCGTATTTGCTCAATTAGTGTTCATACCATATTGTTATTTTTAAAATAAAATGTTCCGTTTGATTTAAATTACATTAATTGCCACAGGTATCGTAAATTTGATTTAATGTCACATTGTGGAGAATGTCAGAAAAGTTTCTTAATATATCGTTCTTAATAATTTCAGAAAATATGGAGTCAAGAGCACTTGAAGCTTAACATTTTGACGTGTTCTTGGCCCTGTACTGTGTTTGCACTTCATTTTATAACTTTTTTCGGATACTTCTCTTTGTAGTCTCCTTATATTATATTTATTGATATTGTCACTAATTTTGCCAACTGAACTTTAGACACGATAAAAAGATAATCGCTTTTTAGGCGTTACTTATTTTCAAGTTGGTAATAAATAAAGTCGGTCAATACGTGTTTCAAATATTTAATTTTCCTTCTGTTTTTGAAGTACCAAGTAGGTATACGGATCTGTTTTCATACTTAAGTTTTTGAATGAATGTGTTACATAATAGACATGGGCATTATTTAGGTGTGCCTTCCATAAGTGAGATGAAGGTGAAATGCGCACTTTTTGTACCAACAACACCTTGAAGTACCCCTTGAGTAAATGTAGTCGAAAGATCTTGCTTGTACAATTGGACGTAGTTAAACAAAAAGGATCCAATGTACGGACAACGGCTCATCAGACTACACATTTTTGTTCGAAAATCGCCTCCAGTGCAACGGAACAAGATACGTCAATGTTTAGCTTGATGTGCTGGCGTGTGTACATCCAGTCACTTTTGAGATATGGCAGTTTGAAGTTTAAAAGTGTTTATCACTCTTGTTTTATTTTCAAAACTTATAATGTCATGTAACCCCAGAGATATTTATTTATGTTTATATGTTGGATTTTTTTGCTGATCTAAGAGATCAGATTTTAGAAACCGTTTGGTATATATATATAACTAACTCATTTTTTGATAATTTTGTGGATTGGATCCTTTTTGCTTAACTACGTCCAATTGTGATTAACTCATTGTTATTACCACGTTTGTTTAATGTATTTATTTATGAACTAAATTCCAAAAAATGTCCAGGCGAGTTGTAACATTGAGAACTATAAGGCTCAAGAACTATCCTTGTACGCGACTTGTATGGATTACGGAATACCTCAGACCATATCTGTGTTTATGGAATGCCCAGTTAGGTCCGTGAGCACGGAATACGTATCGGTAACGAATCCGTAAGTCACAAACTTTTCAAAATTGTTAATAATATTTACGTACAATAGAATTTTTAATCAATTTACATTGCTGCGGAGCAGAATAGAAGCCAATTTTTGTAACGAAGTAGTAGGTACCTACTACTATTGCATAATGAACTTTATGTCAATAATATCCTTTTAATAATAATGAATAATAATCAATTGTTTATTTCTCCTTCCACAAAAAGTACTAAGTAGGTATATGAGAAAATTTAAAGGCACAAACCCAAACCGGTATAAACATAAAAACGGTAAAAACAAGAAGGCTAAAAACGAGTACTACAGCAATAAATGCGCACTTAGAAGATCTCCTTCGTAAACATGACAGCTTTAATGCGCACAAGCATTTCAAGGAAATGGTAAGTCATAAGCGAAAAGCGATGAATACCCGTCAGTTTGGGTAGATCTTATTCTGGACACAAGTAGCAGCAAGAGAGTGTAGTGTGACTATGTTGCAGATATGTTTGCAGATTCATCAAGGAACACCATCTCAAACATATCAACCATCACTGATGACACTGGTCCGACTATATTGAAATCTGAGGTTTTGCGGGCCTTGCAGGCTTCTAAAACTTGATAACATACCGATTGAAATGCTAAAGTTACTTGAAGAAGACCGACTGGATGTTCTCATACAATTCTTCAATAACATCTACGAAACTGACAATCTCCCAGTGACTGGCTAACATCCACATTCATCACGATACCCAAGAAGCAAAACACCGAAACATGTGGAGACTATCGTATGATTAGTCTGATGAGCCATGCCCTAAAAGTTTCCTAAACATCATGCAGAACAGAATAAAGCCAAAATGTGACGAACAACTGGGAGATAGCCAATTCCGGTTTCGGTCTGGTGTCGGCACCCGGGAAGCTCTTTTCGCCCCCAATGTTCTCGTACAGAAATGTAGAGACATGCACACTGACATCTTTTTGTGCTTTGTTGACTACGAGAAAGCATTTGACCGAGTTAAACATCAACAACTTTTGGACCTTTTATGTGAAATTGGTCTTGATGGTATGGATGTCAGGATCATTCGCAACCTGTAAGAACCCAACCTGTGAGTCATGAGAAGCAAGTGGCCACGATAAGAGTTGAGAATTAGCAAATTTATCAAGTTGAGATCTGTCGTGGGGTCCGGCAGGGCTGCATCCTGTCTCCGCTGCTTTTTAATGTTTACTCGGACGCTGTGATATCGAAGGTGCTTGAAAACCTTGAAAAGGGAATAAAGATCAACGGCAAAGTCGTTAACAACTTGCGTTATGCAAATGACACTATTCTCATTGCAGTATCGGAGAACGATTTGCAAGCTATTGTAAGTAAGGTTAATGAATATACCCAGAAAGCCGGTTTATCAATAAACATAAACAAGACGAAGTTCATGGTGGTCTCGAGAAATCCGGATATGAGCCTTAACATGTCTGTAGCTGGGAAACAACTAGAGCGGATACGACAGTACTAGTATTTGGGGGTTTGGGTAAATGAAGCATGGGAATCTGTTCAGGAAATCAGGACCCGGATAGGAATTGCTTGAGCCTCTTTTAACAACATGAGGAAAGTTCTGTGCTGTCGTAAACTGAACATAAAGCTCCGAGTCAAGTTACTTTTATGTTACATCTGGCCTATCGTCATGTACGGCTGCGAAACGTGGACCTTAAAAGAAGACACCTGCAGGACGCCTGACACAAGACGCCTGCAGGTATGTGAGATGTGGAGTTACCGTCGTATGTTACGCATTGCATGGACACAGAGGGTCACGAACGAAACCGTGCTTCAGCGTATGTCCCGGAAAATAATGCCATCTATCAAAAGGCGCAAAATGTAGTATCTTGGTCACGTGATCAGGAACAATAGTTACACGCTGCTACGGCTAATAATGACAGGCAAAGTGCAGGGAAGGAGACGCGCTGTGCGAACAAAGAAATCGTGGCTGCGGAACGTCCGGGAGAGGACCGGCATTGCCTCCGCCGAACAGCTGTTTCGGTTGGCTGCTGATAGAGACACCAACACAGAAGCTGACGACCAACCTTCAGCATTGAAGCGGTAGAGAGGCACTCTAAGAAGTAGATGTTTTGTACAATTTTGTTGTAAAAATCCGCTTCCATTCTTTTTCGGGCTGTGTAAATTGCACCAGTGAACGTATTAGTATGTAGGACACTATTACGAAAGTATCAGTGCAGAACTGATTTTTGTTTTCCAATATTTTAACAGAACCGATGAAGCATGGTTGGTTTTATCTGAAGTGTCAGGAGGACCATTTGAGACTTTGAAAGAATTTATAATCGATCCTAACATTACATACGACATACCTATACATTTTAAACCGAGGACGATGGGCAAACATGAGGTACAATAATTCTAATGGCGTATAACATTAAAACTTATTTCAATAATATAATAACATTTATTTAAGTGAACATATTATATTTACAGACGCAAGTGTTGTACTCACCGCTTGGAGAAACCGCTTTGTTTGTCAATGTAATAGGGGCTACTATGAGTCCAAACCCTAGCGGAGATTTGAAAATAAAGGTCGCTGCTCAGGAAACTTATAACGAAAGTTTCTCTGTATACAATATTACTGAGGCAAGTAGTAGTAGTATATGCTCGTTACTCTCAGAGATGCGAACAAAAATGTTTTTTTTCCATACTTATAGTCTTGTCATAGGGAAACCCTGCATTGCGGGCGCCATGGACACGCACATAGGCAACCACAAATTACATCCGAACTCACGAGATAAACATAGGCTATACCAATATTTCTCCCGGCTCGGGAATCGAACCGGACCTCTGCGTAGCAGACCAGCAGGGTAACCAACCAGTCGGCCATGGAGGCAGTTTATAATTTATAACTTCCCGGTGACTTCTGCGTGCGTAGGAAATGGATAATCCATAAAAATGATGAAAAATATTTTTCCAACAGAAGCGAGAGACGTACATCGTTGACACTGAAGTGGTAAAAGTGATTCCTGATAAATTCGACGGGTTTTACGAGATCAAGTTTCCTGACTACGTTCAAGTATGGGGGGAGGCTGCAGGAAAATGCTTGTGGCAGTTCACTTGCTACCAACCTTGCGAAATGCAAATGAAGGTAAGCAAATGCGCAGTCTTGAAACTGTAAAACATAAGTAACCTAAATGATAAGAATCAGTACGATATAAAACTTCACATTCTTACCGGCGTGCCCTAAAAACATGGCGTTCTACAAATTATGGGACAAATTGTGATAGTTAATTAAAAGCATATAGCTTATATTTAGCACAAAACGTGACTAAAGGCAATTTTTATATCGTAAATAAGGAATATAAGAAAAAACAAATAACGACAAATGTTTTTTTAATGAATATCACTAATTACAGCACAACAAGCACACAAATTATGTGGTTTTGTAGCGGAAGATCAAAAAAAAATCAATTTTATTTAATAAAGTATAATTAAAATTACAATACAATAAAAATATGAGACTCGACCGATGGTAGGTACAAGAATGAATTTAATGAATTTTAAAATAGCCAGGTGATTGATGTCATCAGCCGGTCACGTTATGCTGCATCGGCGCCTCGTGCAATGGGTCGTTGTCCATACTGAATTGGGGCGGTGCTTACTCGACGTAATACTTGTATTAGGGTTGCGTAACACCTCCACCCCCAGTGCAGCGACTATTGAAGATCTTTGTCGTAAATTGAGCTGGAAGTTGTGTCGTCTCCGATCTTGTTAAACTTGGAATAGCATAGACTCCTGGATGTTGGGGGCGAACCTCTTGTGAATGATCTTCTTTGATTTTAGTCTTGTTCGTGTACTTTCGATACAACATGACGCCGGTCAGTGCGCATGCACCGAATAGTAATGCATACATTGGAATAATTGTATGATACAGGCTGTAGTCGGTGGCGGCAAGCGGCTTCAGCGGAGGCTGCAGTGCAATCTTAGAATTGGTTGCATGTAAATTATCTAAATTTATAGAATTTAGTTTGAAGGGTGGTGTTATAGGTGACGTGATGCTAGATTTCTCCGGTAAGTCCATAATCTTCATGGCTTGTCCTTTTATACGATCTTTAGTATTGGAGATTAGGAACTCTGGTGTTTCGACGTAGCATCTGTGTAGAATCATGATGAGGTAACTACCCTGAAGTATCTGATGTAGATCTTGTCCACAGGATAAATGCACTTTGGTTGGTTTCGGAAAGTTGACTGTGTAGTGCTTGTCGTCGAGCTCCTCGAAGACTGAATTTTCTAGTAAAATGGTGACTGGGCTACATGCAGGACTTCTTTGTTGAGTAGTAATCAGCTGATGATGATGGGGTCGTCTGGCTCCGCAGGCTCACATAGATACCCTTTACTCGTCTTCGGGCATTCTGCCTCTATGTACTTGAAATCTTTCGGATGGATAGCGAGGAATGGGGACAACGGAGTAAGGATCTCATGATTCTTATTGGATATAATAGATAATTTGTAAAGATTATAGGTTTGGAGTAATATAATAGGAAACTTATATACTATTACTATACTATTTCCTACGTAATAAGAACCTAACTTAATTATATCATAATATTCTCTAATTTCTAAATCTATTATACTGCCTTCGCCATACAACGCCTTGACTTTACTGTTTAGATCTCGAATTGAGTCTGGACTAATAATGTAATGATGCATGGTTGAACTTCGAATGAAGGCCAGGTTATTTTGTAATTTTGTTATCTCTTGAGATGCTAAATCTATATTATCTCCTATGATGAGAAATGCTTGTGCTAAATGAGCGTACTTTACTACATCATATTCATTGGTAGCTACACTATTTCTTATTTTATTCATGATCAATTCTATCTTATTTTGATTGGAGACTATACTATCGATAATTTTTGAATATTGAGATGACCATTCTTTAGTTAAACTTACGTGACTATTTTGTTCGGATATAATAGAATTTTCTTTACTCTGTAGATCTCTAATGATTTTGTCACAGTGCAACGCGTCCGTATAATCGAGGTTGCCTGTTATACTTTTCACTACAGACCCTAAACCGTCAATAAGTCCTCTTCTAACACGATTAGTTTCAAAGGTTAATAATTGTTTAGATAAAGTTTTTAGTTTACTTTTCAAATAGTTAACATGGGGTTCGAACAGTGAAGATGTACTATTATTAAGGTCAGGACTTATATTAAATAGTTGATTATTTAAGGAATTGATTTTACTCTGTAGATCTTGGAAATTGACATATTGCAAAAACGAATGGTAGCTGGGTATAATATTAGTGGGGCCTAATTTAAATGGTAATACACCGGGTCCATCATCCAGATTCTCAAGTTTTATTTCCTGCGTTAGAGCTGGTTGCAGGAAAAGATGTAGGGCCAAGAGGATCCTGCAACAATTGGGCGCTTTTAGGTATCCGTTTTAGTCGAGATTTAGCGACAGGGCCACGTTTCTTCCTAGTATATATATGAATAGGTAGATCCGCCATAACAACATCCTTAGTATAGCGAGGAGCAAATTTTTGACGGGACGCAAGTGGGTTCTGTACAAAAACCCGTTGCTCGGGGGAATACTCAACTTCATGTTCACGATCCTTATTTCGATTGTCTGTTAATTCCTGACGACATGAGGTACCAGATTCGTGAATTAAATTATATACTTTACACATCTTATCTCGGTGATTAGTTATATACTGTTGTAATAGATGTGCTGAGAGATCTATATCAATGGGATTCCGGGGATCAAAGTGGCCTGTTACCACTTCAATCGGTCTACATTTAGTGAAGCTGTGTATGGTGTTATTATAAGCCAGAAGGGCGTACGGCATTAGGTTTATTACTGATTCGGATTTCTTATCAATTTTTAGGATTCGAAGATGTTCTAAAATGGTTGAATGGAATCTCTCAACGATTCCGTTTTCGTTAGGAGCGTGAGGTGCGACACGATGATGTTGTATCTTATGTAACCTCGTGAATTCGGCAAAGAGTTGGTTACTAAATTCGGGGCCATTATCCGTTACTAAAGTTGTAGGTATTAAATGATGAGTGCAGTATCTTAATAATGCTTGTATTACGCTGAGAGCTGTTCCGTCTCTCAGGTAGTAGGCCTGTGCATATTTGGAAAAAGCATCTACAATAGTTAAGAATTTCTCACTTTGAATCGTTAATAAATCTAAATGAACCAATTCGAATGGCTTAGTTGCTGGAGGAACTATACGGTACTGTTGTTTAATGGGGTTGCGATCATATTTACCTTGACGGCAAACCGTGCATTCGTTAATAAATTTCACTATGTGCTCCCGCATTTTCGGCCAATAATACTTATGAGATAATGTTAGATAGGTTTCGTTAATGCCGCGATGGTTGGTTTTACCATCATGGTATTTATTGATTATGTCTTGTTGCCTTAGGTATTCCCTAACATTTTCTAATTCACGTTTAGAAATCATAAGGTTCATAGCCGAATTTTTAAATGTTTTTTGTATAATTGGGACTATTACGTACATAGCTTCAGGTGGGTTGATAAAAAGGCCTGTCTTAATTTTTGGGTGAACATATTCTTTGATGGCGTTAATCACATCTTCTTCTAAGCTAGATTCCGATAATTGAACGGAAATACGCGTGTGCGTTTCGAAGGGTTTTGTTATTACAGGACGTCCTTTGATATCTCCTACAACATTTAAAATTAATTGTTTTCTGAATTTATTCAAGGCGTCGTCTGTAATGGGGATCTCTAGTATAGGATTCTCTTTTTCCGTGTGTACCGTAATGGTTCTAGAATCGTCAGCTTCCGGGACTGTGACGGTTCTGGAATCATCGAGAGAGGGAGCGTCTTCTGTAGGGTTCACAATTATGGAGCTTATTTCGTCATTATTAATTTCAATACGCGACAGAGCGTCGGCATACTCGCTTAACTTCAATCGCCATCTCGTAAGACGAGAATTCGGTTCCTTTAAATTCATTATCCACTGCAAAGGTTTGTGGTCTGTTAAAATTTTAAACTTACGGCCAAACAAGTAGGGTCTAAAATACTTTGTAGCCCAAACTATAGCCAGAAGCTCCTTCTCTATAGTACTGTAGTTAAGCTCGCTTGAATTTAAAGTCCTAGATGCATAGGCAATAGGTTTATCAGAGCCTATGGTTCCCTGAGATAAAACAGCCCCGATTGCTACATTTGAAGCATCGGTTGTTAGTAAAAATTCTTTCGAAAGATCTGGATATTGGAGAATCGGATCATTGGTAAATAGAGTTTTACAATGTTCGAAACAACATATAATTTTGATCAAAAGTTATTTTAGAGCCTTTTTTTAAACACTGAGTAAGTGGTTTAGTCAGTTTAGCGAAATTCGGAATGAATTTTCGATAGTATCCTAGTAGACCGAGAAAACGTTTGATCTCTGTGGTCGTTTTGGGCAGTGGATATTTTTTTATGGCTGCAATTTTACTAGGGTTCGGCTTAACGCCGTCTTTACAAATCATATGTCCCAGGAAATCGGTTTCCAACTTTAAAAATTCAGATTTGTCCATCTGTTTTTTAAAGTTGGATTCCCTTAGTCTTTTAAACACTTTTTCGAGATTTGTTATATGTTCCTGCAGTGATGTACTATATACTATGATGTCGTCGAGGTAAACTAGACAGACTTCATTCTGGAGGCCCTTCAAGACATTGTCACCCTTTGAAAGGTTGATGGAGAATTCTTCAAACCCATGGGCATCCTTAGGAGCTCATAATGCCCGTTTTCTACGTTAAATGCGGTTTTGTGTACATCTGCAGGATCCATTTCTACTTGGTAAAATCCACTGACCAAATCGAGAGTGGTAAAATACTGACATTTGCCCAGTTTATCCAGGACATCCGTTATATTTGGAATTGGATACTTGTCGTCAACCGTTTTCTCGTTTACTTTCCTGAAGTCCACGACAAAGCGCCACTTAACTTTACCGGAAGCGTCAGCCTTCTTGGAGACTATCCAAATAGGAGAGCTCCACGCAGATTCCGAAGGTCTAATTATATTTTGTGAAAGCATTTTTTCAATTTGGTCTCGAACCTCTTGTCGGTGGACGTAAGGATAGCGGTAACTTTTGGTGTGGACCGGAATTTCATCAGTAGTTCTTATCTTAT